CTTTCCACAACAGGATGATGACTGATTAGCCAACTATTCTTAATGAAAAGTGCATGATATATAATTCAATTATATGCATTTACAACAATAACTCTAATAACTAGATACTTAATGATACTTATATTATCTATGTGATATGATTTGATATTATACATAAATAAATGTATTGAGCTAATCATTGCCTTTTCCTGACCTGTATACTGCTGTGCCGTGTATTGCGAAATTCTGCGAGAGTTCTGCGCCATGAATTTTGAATCCTCTGTGAGCCATGGGAAACTGCGAACTTTTCCGCCAATCGTCCTTTGTCGCGGTATCCTTTTCGCTTTTCAGGACCTGACGGCGGAATCATGTTGTGTGGCCAACCCCCATAGCCATGACGAACATGTTGTGTGGCCAAGTCGATCAACATTAAACACAATTAAACTCCAGAGTCTATAATGATTCCCAACAGTGACTCCCCCAGTGGCATGGTACCTGCCATCTCAAGCTGTGGCTGTTTAGTCTCAGCGCTGGTGCCAGGTTCAAAGTGCTGAGGTTGGCTGGATGTGTTGACGTGTTTTGACCATCCGATACATTTCTTTCATTAGTAGTATCACCAGGAAATGAAGACTTATAGAACCAATTTCTATGGGGTTGATGGTTAAATTGTGAACGAAGATAAGTTGGTAGTACCTGGTAGTTCGTTTTAAGCCTGCAATTTATATAACAGGCACTTGGGGATGGCACACCTTCGGGAAGTTACCACTAAGGTAACTGGCGGTGAACCTGAAATGGCGGCGAACCAACGATGTTGATGGTGATATTTTGAAAGGTGAAAATTTGGCAAAAACACAACTCTTGACTTGAAGCTCCTATTGTAAAAAACTGTCATCACTATTAGTGGTGCCTTGTTTTTTTATCCTTGAGAAAGCTTGGCGGAGATCCTTTTTTTGTCCTATCGTTCTGTCATAGTTTGGCACCGCATGGCGGTGTACCTTTGACCGCTAGTGGCAGCGACATGTCAAGGTTCAAGTGGTCCCAATGAGTCAAAGAGTGACATGGCGGTCCACCCAAAGAAATTTTGTACTCGACGCATAATCAGGTTTGGATGCTATGTGCCAAAAAAAGGCCTCTAAAAAAGCAAGTTACACACTCACAGCCAGTTCTAAGAAAGTATCGGAATTGTAGTGGTCAGCGACAAATGCAGTCCACAGCCAGTTCCTGCAACTCAAAAATGGCATAGTGTTCCCAGGAGGTTCCCTGTTGATTTAGGCAAAATAGGGCGATCATTTGGGGAGTGCGGCATTGTGCCATCTACAAAAACCTCATTGTGCATCGTCTTTTTCATCAACCAACCATGAATTGGTAAAATTTGATCCCCGTTGGAGGTAGCCACCAAGTCCTCAGCTGGGCTTTTTCACTCAGCGCTGGTAGAAGCTCCGGAAGCTTCATCGAGGTCCTCAAAGCGAAAAAGGACAGATAGATGGTTGGGAAGTATGCAAACCTGCTACCCATGGTTGCTATGTATCCACTGATAGTATGCATGAACCAGCAAGTAACTTTCAAACCCAGGAATGCACATGTTGGCAGCTGCACTTCGGTTGGAATACGCGCGCTCTTCCTGGAAAAAGACTGCAAAAATATTGGGCCGCGGGGTAGCTGTTGTCCCTTCAAACATCTTCAAACGCTACATCAGGACGACCTTGCTGAACAGTTTGATCTATGGTTCAGCGTCCCAGACGGAACAGTGCAGCCACAAGATTTTTCCACATCAGCATAATTTCAGCAGAATCAAACCAATGTTTCTGGAGGTTCCATCTGGCGTGTCGCGGGTGCGCTCTTTTTTTTGCCAAAACTCTCGTCATGAATACTCATGAGTTGCCGTCAAACCTGAAAAACTGTACCATTTGTGAGTGATCCTGTGACTGATTTGTACAATTTGTTGCTACGCCCAACATTCTGGTACCGAAAACGACAGTTTTTTGTTTTGATTTGCCATTCAGGGGGTAGCTTCCTCAAGAGGCTTTGATGTATCATTGAACCAAAACTCCGAAAACGCTGAGGGAACGATATGCCAGAGGGAGAAATTCTGTGAATTTCAAAACTATGGCCCATATGGCATCATATCATATGGCTATCAAAATTGTTGAAACACCCAAATGTTCCAAATGTTCTTCCCATCCACTTCCCATCCACTTCCCATCTCACTTTTTCAGATGGCCTCGCTGGAGTTTTTCACTCTGTCGGTCAGGTGACCTCTGGGCACAATTTTGTGCCACGTCTTTTCGAATACCACTTTGGTCAAAAGACATATCAAAGTCTCTTGATTCAATTAGCCATAGTTATCCATAGTTATCCGTATAATTTGTTCCATGTAAATATCCATACATGTCCCATCTACTTAAAAATCCATAATTACTTGTCCTACTTACATAAAATCAAATAAAGTGAATAAATGAAATCGAATTGAATCGTGCTGACCCTGAAATCCCGACGCCACCGGCCATTGGTTTCTCCATGAGGTCCCTGCTTTGGTCGCCCCGGATGCCGAAGGTGACGACTAGTGCCAGCCTCTGCCATGGGTGAGATGAGATTAGCTATTTGTGGTAGGCCAAAGATGGGGATAATGATGAAAATCTATGGGACAACAAAATTGATTGGGCATTATTTGAAAAAATGTTTTTCGCAACCCTGGTCTCGCATGTTCAATAAAGTCAAAGGGACTTTTCATGCGCCTTCGCAATAAATAATGTTTGCGTTTTTGCGTTTCACGACAATTCTAGCATCTGAGTATGTTTTCTGGTATCCCGACCCGACCTGTGACGTCAAATAAATGCAATTGTGGTATGAAACAGAAAACAGCTTTGGTCAGGTGACCGTGATTGGCAAATATGGTCCCAAGAAAAACCCAAGACAATCAAATGCAGCTTCAGAACGTAACAAATTGGCTTCAAAATAATGAGAAACAATCTGCAACTTGATGGCAATGACAATGTGTGTAGGTTGATTTGTTGGTTCGTTGGTTGGATCATTGGGTCCGTGGTTGTTGGTGGAGCTGATATCATCGTGTCGTCGTTGTCGTCCTGGTTGTTGCTGTTGCTGTCGCGGTTGCTGCTGGTTAATATTGTTTGTTGGGGATTCTTTGTTGTCTGTTGTGCGGTTGTTTGTTTGTTGTTTGTTTGTTTGCTGTAATGGTGTGCCATTGTCATATTGTAGCATTGTGCTGAAGTGTTGTTGTGCTGCATTGGTGGAATGTATCGTCGGTGTAATTGTGCATTGTCGTAATGCTACAATGTGGTAGTGTTGTAACGTTGTACTGTTGTGATGTTGTAGTGTTGAACCGTCGTACTGTTGTACTGTTGTATACTGTGCGAGGATTTGAATGATGATTGCTGACCTTCAGTCATTGTTGTTGTTGGCGGTTGTTTTTGGTTGTTCATGATTGTTGTTGGTGCATGTTTTTGTTTTTGGTTGTGGCTGTTGTTGGCAATGGTTGTTGTTGATCGCGGTGGTTGCTTGGCGGTTGCAGACATGCTGCTGAACCGAATCGTTTCGCAAGGGACTCTTCACTGCAGCAGAAGGCCTGGGACTTTTTTGGCTTCTTTCACAAGCCTACAAATGATTGATTTCAGTGATTTAAACAAAATGAGTCTGCAACGAAGATTGTATCTGACCATATCTTACCATCCTTGATCTGCGGTGAATTCCACCCAACACCATTGGACCTGGGCCCCTGGGCCCCTGGGCCCCTGGGCCCCTGGGCCCCTGGGCCCCTGGGCCCCTGGGCCCCTGGGCCCCTGGGCCCACCTTGGTAGCGACTTTTTTTGCCGATCTGTTGGTGCTTCGTTGCTTTTTTTCCACTCTGCTCCAGGTGTCGGAGCATTCTCCGCTTGAAAAGAAGGATGACAGATGCTGGATGGCAAATGACAAATGACGTGGATAATCCATGATAATCCTGTGATATTGACGACAAATGATGTAGATGTTCCATGATGACACTGACGCTGATGATGGGCTCTGTCCAGCTGAGTCACCAGGGACTGCGATACATAATGAGCAAAGAAGTCTCACCCCGTCCCAACCGATTCTTAAAGTTGCACGGAAGCAACTCTTTGGGACTTTGAGTTGAGATCACTTCTTGGAATGCCTCTGTGAGCCGTGAACGTGGGCGCTGGTCACTATACGATTTGTCACAACGTGGAACAGCACTGATTGCTCTAAACATCTCTACACAATCTGACCCCTGTTCCAAGTCTCAGCGCCCCAGGCACCATCAGTCGTGATGTTCTTCAGTTTGGTCAGTTTGGGGACAGGATCGCCCCAAAGCCAGAGGAAAATGACGAAACAGTGACAAAGCCAACCAAATCTTTAGGGCCTAGGATCCTGTTCCCAGCAAGGCTGTGGCATGAGGCACTCCTGTCACAACTCGGTTGATGACTGGCACTACTTGGGAGACCTGACATTGGGACTTTCACATGGCCAAGCTGTGACAGAATCTCCTTGGCTGCTCCATGTCACTTTCGAATGAAACTTTGGAGACCAAAGGCCTGGGTGTAAAATCTGCTACGCTCACTGGCCACTGGTTCGAAATTGACAAGCGAATTCATTGAAGGAGGCTCACCCCACTTCGAGTTCAACGGCACGCTCCCAGGTCCCACTCCCAGGATGAAGCTGTCCGAAGGTGACATGATATTTATTGTCATGCTGTGGCTTCATCATAATCACAGCCCGTGTCAATCCGTGTCAGCTTCGAGCATGGGGGCACCTAGAATATTGGGAACAAATGGCCTCGCTTTCTTGGAGACCTGCCTCACATATAGTGCCTTGAACAGGAGGCTACATTACCAAAAGCACAGTGTCAAACTGTCAAAACATGTCAAAACATGTCAAAACCACCAGCACCGTCCACTTGAACATGCGTCACTGCACTTGATTATTTGATACTAATACTCATTATCTGTTTTTTCAAACACTGGAGACAAACCATCCACCAAACTCTAGGAGTGACCCTACCATCCAGGTCAATTCGGGTTGACACTGCGTGACCGAATCTCAGCTTGGTGGTTTGCTACTTCACCTGGCTCCAACGGTGCCAAGTCTGCCCCTGCACGCGCGTCAAGGATCCCCCGAATCAAACCTGGCCACGCTGCAGGACCCGCAACTACTCCACAAGGTTGGGAACAACCTATGAACTTCATAGATTTCAAGTGCGAATTGATATGAATTGGTGGTAATTGTTGACACCACTTTACAAAGCCTTAGGGAATAGCTGGGAGTCCCATAAGAAGACGCCGCCTCAAAGACGATCCAATGGTGCAGCTGCGACACCAAGAGTGGGGAGTCTCTTTCGGGTGAAGGCCCATTTCTTCAGGGTGCCAAAGGTGCCACCGGATCTGAAAAATGATAAAAATATATAAAAATGGGTCCTGTTCTTCAACCATCCATTTCGGGCTCATGAGAAACCGCCGCCTCGCGCGTAAGGATACTCGAGGGTAGGCTGCAAGGCATCCTGCAGCTGATCATCGGGGAGATGTAAAGACTCCTCAATACCTGGGCAAACAAACGGTCATGGCATATCTGTGGATTGAACTCTCGTAACCCCAAGAAGGTAGAAAAGTAAATCGTCAACCATTGTATGGACCTACTTATGCTTTTTTGCGGCCTCCTATAAGGGAAAAATATGAGTATGTCATCAACTCACAATTGAGAGTGCATTATGATCAAATCATGGACCATTTACACATATTTCACGGATGATCGCACCATGAAATATGGGAGGGTCCCCCGTTTATCACTGCCATTGCCGGGAAAGAATGGCGTGTTTGGTGCTTGGTTACACCTCTCAGAAACGACTATCAATGGACTTCGTAAGGCACGACTACTTCTTCTACGGTCGGCGACCGTACTCATAATTATGAATTATGACAATTAAGTTAGTACACCACTAGCAATGGCACTGCCTCAGTGATATGGGTTCAGCAATTTGAAGCCGGTTTTTGCATTTACAAACAATTTTGAGGTTAGTTTAAGTGCAGAAGTCAATGTGATCTGATGTTAGGTATGTTTATGTATTTTGTGATTCAAGTGGACGTAAACGGAAATGGTTTAAGTTGCAGCTCATGTAATTTGAAGTTGCTAAAGGATTTTGAAGCGAATGTAATTTGAAGTTGCGGAACTTGATAATGCCATTTGAAGCTACGAGTAGTTGTAATTTTCAGTTTATTTATGTAATTTGCCTTGTTCGTATCTCGGAACTCGGAAGATTGCTTTTCAAGGTCCTTTGGCAACCCATCAATCTGGATGACAATTACGGTTGTCAACCAACCTGAAATAACGCAATTGGATCAGTTGCCTAGATCTAGGTAAGGATATCATTGATATCATAGTATACCCCCATCACCTACCCAGCGCTCCCCGAATGCCGGGCCACGAAGCTTCAATTTGTCCCTCATCTGCTTGCGCGGCCGCTTCGGCGCCACCCCAGCGGGATGAACATCGTGACCTACAAAAACTGGGCAAATCAACCCACGAAAGCAGGAATGATACAAGGTGGTGCCCCCCAGTTATAAGTTGGTTTATAATCCCATTAACTATAGATATATCACCTATAAACCATAGTAGGAAGGCTGTAATAACCATGATCTTGAGCTAAGCATCTTGACACCGACAAAAAAAAGGATTGGCAACACTCGAAGGGTCGGAACAGTGGTCAGAACAGTGTCTCGTGTCTCTCTTGAACCCTCCACTTACAGTACCCGCAACCCTGAGGCAATCTGGCATTGCAGTGCAAGTGACAGAAGTCACACGTGCTTCCCCTGTCACAGCCCAGCAGGGAATTGTGGAAGATGCATGGGCTGCCTGGCGCGAAAAATCAGAAGCTGGTCTTTGGCAGTTGGTATGTTGGGCGCTAGCGTACCAGTCCAAAATGATTGCCCAACATTTTCCGCTTGTGGTTCATTTGCATACATTGGGTCAGGCGTTGGCATGAATATTGACAGATATCCTGATATCCTATGCACGGGCACATTCTCGAGGTACCACGGGAAGAAAACCCCTTCCGTCAATTTCCACAATATCCACAACCCCCCTGTCGTGTCATTGTTCCCTATCGTTGCATCAAACTTGCTTCGACTGGGTGCAACATATTCCCATCGCCCAAATGCACCGTAAGGATTGCGGCTCCACTTTGTCGTGGACAGCTATTGAGCAGGTTCCAACATCAACATCCTACTATATCCTATTGTGCATCTACCGAGTTCTACTGCAGCTATGATACGCTTAGATAAGGCTTAGCTTAGTGATGTGAGAGTTCAGTGAGTACAGATTCACCAGTGATTTCCGTTGCCAAAAGATGATCTCAAGATGGCCAGGTGACATCTGCGCTGCGCGTGGTCCGCAGCATCTCGTTCTCCCAGCAGTCCTGGTTCGTGTGCTGCCCAGCGCTCATCACGGGATCCAAGCCTCAAAATATGTGAACATTCCACAATGGATGCCATGGATGCCATGGGTGCCATGGATGCCATGGCCAAGGTAGAACATGAACTTAGGATGGTTCAAACTTCAAACTGGTGAGCGAATTCAAACGCATCTCAAACGTCTCAAATATCAAACCATCGCCAATCACCACGCCCGCCGTGACGCCAAGGCTGGCCAAGTGGCTTTCTATAGCTTTCTATCGGTGCTTCACCACGCACAGTTGGACCAGTTGGACCAGTGAACTCCGTGAACTCTGAGAACAAAAAGGCATTGATCCCACACACCCATTTGCTGACGGAAGACTCGTCCTGGGCCCGTCGCTGGTCCCAGTCTCCCTGCATCCAAACCATCCAGACATCTAGTTCCAAAGCATGTAACAAGCTGAATCACTCCAGTTTCTGCAACAGGCAACTTGCTGCAGGAGTTGTGGCGACCAAGATCAATCAAATAATTCTGTGAAATTCCCAAATGAAACACCCAAAGTAGACATGCCTGGCCACCAAGTGGAACAAACAACTCCCAAGAGCAGGAAAACAAACCTGACGCAATGCTCTACAAATCGGAAAAATGTTGCTACTTGGATGATCAGCTCAAGGATGTCGCTTGCGGAATTTCATGCAAACGGTGTGTTTTGGATAGCAAAAACACAGCATGTCCGATACTTGTGGCTGATCATCCAAGTCAACATTCGGCACGGTTCCGACGACGATTGTGCTTCCGTGGTTTCTTGTTCCATGTGAACCAAGGTGGCACGGCAAGATCAACGGCCGTAATGCGCAACTTACAGTAATAAACATGTCCGCTCTGAGCCAAAAATGTGACCAAAATGATGCGTCTTTGCGCAACAAACTTGGGTTGTGCTTATGAATCACACCACCCCAAAACCGGAAACAGAGAAGGCAAATGCACGAGGCTGTGCCGAGTCACCTTGGGCACGGTCCTGTCGGCAAATATATCGCTTTGTATTGGTTGGGGCCTGGTTGAGTTACCATCAACTGACAATAAAGTGCAGGGCCAACAAGGTGTGCCAATTAAAACAGTCCCAATGTGCCCGGAGCCGCCAACTGATTGGCAAAACCGCTGCATCATCACAACCAATTTTATCATCTGCAGTTTGCAGCTGTCATTTTCATGCCAAAAATTGAAACTATCCATTTTGGGTATTTAACCATTGACTTCGACCCATTTGTTCATGGATTTGTTTAGTCCTTGTTTTGGTATTTAATGATATCCCTCCCCATTGCGGTGGGTCCCAAATTCGGGTCATTTCCAGTGCGGCCTTCGCCGGTCTCTGCACCATCGCGGCGAAGAAGGCTGCACGGCGCCACTGGCGCGTTTCGCATCCGCCTGAAGTTTTGGGTCAAGATTTGGCCCCACACGTGGTTGCTGTTGGGGTGCAAAAAAAAACAAGCAGTTGGATAATTACATGTAAAGGGATTCGAAATATCATGAGATCTAATCTAATGGGATATTGCCAACAAGATGATATGGGTTTGTTCAAAAAGGGATGTGGCGCCACAATGGCCCCTTTGTTTGGACAAAGGTGAAAAACCATCGGTTAATATTGTTTGTTGGGGATTGTTTGTTGTCTGTTGTGCGGTTGTTTTGTTTGTTGTTTGATTGTTTGCTGTAATGGTGTGCCATTGTCATATTGTAGCATTGTGCTGAAGTGTTGTTGTGCTGCATTGGTGGAATGTATCGTCGGTGTAATTGTGCATTGTCGTAATGCTACAATGTGGTAGTGTTGTAACGTTGTACTGTTGTGATGTTGTAGTGTTGAACCGTTGTACTGTTGTATACTGTGCGAGGATTTGAATGATTGCTGACCTTCAGTCATTGTTGTTGTTGGCGGTTGTTTTTGGTTGCTCATGATTGTTGTTGGTGCCTGTTTTTGTTTTTGTTGTGGCTGTTGTTGGCAATAGGTGTTATTGATCGCGGTGGTTGCTTGGCGGTCGCAGACATGCTGCTGAACCGAATCGTTTTGCAAGGGACTCTTCACTGCAGAAGGCCTGGGACCTTTTTGGCTTCCTTCACAAGCCTACAAATGATTGATATATGATTATGTGATTGATTTAAGTGATTTGAGTAAACAAAATGAGTCTGCAACGAAGATACCATATCTGACCATATCTTACCATCCTTGGCGGTAAATTCCACCCCTACCCAACACGATTGGACCTGGGCTGATGCTTCCCTGGGCCCACCTTTTTTTCCACTGTGCTCCAGGTGTTGCACGCTCCGCTTGAAAAGAAGGATGAACCTGCTGAAATCGACTTTTTCTACTGCTCTCTGTGTGCATCCCGACGTTCTTTGCAGGGGAAGCTTCGCTAGTAGAAAAAACACTCGTGGAATCTTTTCTTCCACATCTGTTCTTTAACTGATGTTATGCCCGAGCGTTGACTGCACGCTCGTGCTCTTGCCACTCTGCCTCAAAGCGATTTCAGGGAACCCTTTGTGCTCTGCAAACAATCTCCATAGAATAACGAAAAAAAGTGTGGACCCCTTCATGCTTTTCACAGTCTATACTCTCTTATCTCTTCAATTGGATTTTGTTCAAGGCAGTGAAGGAACCCTCTGAAAGAAACAGACTTCAAACGTTGGCAACCATGAAACATCACATGACCATGGTAAAACTCATCACGGTCACCAAATCATCGTTGGACATTTGTTCCACTACCTTGCGACGCTGCAAGTAGGTTTCTTCTGAGGCACGGCGAATGCGTCCCAGTCGACATGATATTTGGGATCATTTGGATCCGGGTACGCCCGGAAAGGCTGCCTTGATTGCAATGACGCCCAGCTATGAGAAAATGTCAAAAAAATCAAACCAATCCTATCGAAAGAATTCTTTCAGAACTGGCGCCTCTAACCTGGCGCTTGCTATTTCTGATGTCGGAATTGAGCCCCTGACAAATTGCTGCTGTCTGGGGATCCTTGACGTTGCTCCCATTGCTCCCATTGGTCCCACGAGTTCCAGTTGGACCTGGAACGAACACCGCGCGTTTGCAACTTGAAAGGGAAAAAAAACGTTTTTGGCCATTGGGGACCACTTTGCTTTGAGACAGAAGCATTAGGATGCACTTGGTTGCAGCTTCGGCCAACCGCGAAAGAGGTAGCCAACGATCCCAAACAATGTCATTGAAAACAACAGCCTGAAAGTAGCAACTTGAAAAATTACTTTGACATGTTTAGCCAACCTTGGCAAGTTTGGGAACTCTTCTGTGAAAATCGAAATTGCAATGGTCTATCCCCATCTCAATGCATCTGAAAAGAATACATCGTTTCCTGTTATTGTGAGTGATGGAATTCATGTTTCTTGCAAAAGATTCTTGTGTGGTGTGTGCATTCGAGTCATTTGATTGATGTGGGTTTCATTCATTTTGCCATTCTGGCCGTTGCAGCACGTTGCAGGCGCAAGATGTTCCAACATTTTTTGCACGCGAGAGTACAAGAAGAGGTAACAAAACAAAATCTGGCACTTTATACATCTTATCTGATGTGTGTACATACATGATTGATTGATTGATTGATTGATTGATTGATTGGTTGGTTGGTTGATTGATTGATTGATGATTGATTGATTGATTGATTGATTGATAGATCGATCGATAGATCGATAGATAGATAGATAGATAGATAGATAGACAGACTGAATATTCTGCCGCGGTTTATCGTTATATTATCTGGAATCTTAGCTGGCACTGGCATTTACATTCTATCTGACATTGCATCAGGCATTCTATCTGGCATATTCTGTCATTCAATACATCTCACAAGTACTTCTCTCATTCTATCTTGTGTCAATATGTGTCCAGACAAGGTTCAACGCCGACACACTGAGTAACTAATACGGGCTACGATTGCAAGGTGTACAGCACGCAGGTACGCTGAAACGTTGGTACGCTGACATGCTCCTAAGCTGGAGCGCTGTTAGATCTGTTAGATGTTTCCAGTGTAACCAATCTAACTGGTGGAATCGGTGCAACTGGTGTAGCCGGTCCAGCGAATGTGGCTGGACACTGCCTGCGCTAGTAATGTTTAACCTTGAATGGTTTCTGACATTTGGTCCGGCATTCTATCTGCCAGATATGATGGCGCTTCATGTCTCAAACATTTTGACATTGTTTCGACAAGTGATCTGACATCCTATCTGACACAACTGCTGGCATTCTATCTAACATTTTGATCTAACATTTTGATCTGACAAGTGTTCTGACACTCTTTCCGGCACACATCTAGACATGAATCTATCATTCTGTGAGATATATTATATAAAGTTTTGCTTGTCTTGCTATGGCTCCACAATCTGGGGCTCCTGCGGTTTGTTTTTTTCAGCTGCTGGCCACCCAGGCTGATGACCCCAGGAAGCCTGTGCCTCCTGTGCTTCTCCATTGCGCGGCCACCTTGCAACAAGTGATACAATTGGTTCTCAACTGTTATTGCCGGCCACTTTGCCTTTCAATCGATCTGACAAGAGGCTGCGGTTGCAGCTTCAGTGACCACCAATGATCCCAAACAAGGACGAATGCCCTTTTGACTGTCTCATGGCTTCACACAGTAGCTTGCAATTCTGCCTTGCATTGAGTGCATGTCTTGCTTTGGCTCCACATTCTGGGGCTCCTGCGATTTGTTTGTTTCAGCTGGCCACTCACGTTGGTGGCCCCAGGAAGCCTGTCCTTCTCCATTGCGCGGCCACCTTGCAACAAGTGATACGATTGATTCTCAACAGTTATTGCCGGCCACTTTGCCTTTCAATCGATCTGACAAGAGGCTGCAGTTGCAGCTTCAGTGACCACCAATGATCCCAAACAAGGACGAATGCCCTTTTGACTGTCTCATGGCTTCACACAGTAGCTTGCAATTCTGCCTCGCATTGAGTGCATGTCTTGCTTTGGCTCCACATTCTGGGGCTCCTGCGATTTGTTTGGTTCAGCTGGCCACTCACGCTGGTGGCCCCAGGAAGCCTGTCCTTCTCCATTGCGCGGCCACCTTGCAACAAGTGATACGATTGATTCTCAACAGTTATTGCCGGCCACTTTGCCTTTCAATCGATCTGACAAGAGGCTGCAGTTGCAGCTTCAGTGACCACCAATGATCCCAAACAAGGACGAATGCCCTTTTGACTGTCTGATGGCTTCACACAGTAGCTTGCAATTCTGCCTCGCATTGATGTCTTGCTTTGGCTCCACATTCTGGGGCTCCTGCGATTTATTTGTTTCAGCTGGCCACTCACGTTGGTGGCCCCAAGTAGCCCGTGCTTCTCCATCGCGCGGCCACCTTGCAACAAGTGATAGGGCTGATTGCCTGTTGTGGGGGACCGCCCGTCAGCGCCGGCGACAAAAATCAAAAACACTGCTTCCGAGCAGGGCTTAGCCAGGAATACTGCAGGAAGATCAGACACCAGAAAGATTGCGACCCATTGGTATGGGTAATGAAACAGAACTAATTGAAATGCCGCTGCATCAAACATCAGGATGTTGCTGTACTTGTCCCCACCATTCACAGAATAGCACCGGTCAATCAAATCCAACGCGTACCAGGTGGATCATCAAATATTCTGTCAGGTGGTGTCACCAAGGGCGGGTTGCACCGTTGAGCCATGTCAAGAACCCTGGGTGGTTGAGTGTTGTATGTGCTTAAACTACCTTTGCTACCTGACTTTCTTCGGGATCATTAAGGCCCCTTGTGCCTGCAAGCAAGCAACTGATGCCCGTTATCATCACCGCGGTTGCGCCCATCTTGCCAGACACGTCGTCCTGCCTGTGGATCCTTGGGCAGAGATGGCAAGCAAGTCGCAAAATGTGCAAGTAAACCGGTGAGGTATCGGACTGTCATAGCCCATCAATGAAGAACCAGACTTCAATCGACTTTTCGTTCATGTTCGTTTGGCCAGCTTGACATGCTTAGGAATATTTCCATGATCGATGTCTAGCATTTTGGCACTTGCCTTACATCATCACCATCACTTTCACCTGGCGCTTACAGTACCGATAAGGCTTACTGTGGTCCCACTGCGGCATTGGTGAACAACAGAGCCACAAGTTTTAGTCATCTGCTGTATCAAATTATCAAATCAACCCTCAAACCCTTCACTTTGGGGTCTATCTATCTGTCTATCTGTCTATCTATCTACCTATATGATCCTATATATCTGGTGTTTTGAGAGCCGTCCCCGGAATCACAGAGAATCTGCAGCTTGGATTCTGCACGTGGCTGCAGCTCCGATGCTCCAGCTCGCTCAAATAGACATGTGTTGCTGCCTTGTCCAATTGGAGGAAGTGTCGAAACGAAACATCTATGAGTTGGAACAACTTCACATTCCATACCGACGTTTTTGCAAATCTTTTCGGCCCTCAGCGTTTTCCCGATTTCTTGGGAATAGGGACATGTGTTTCTGAGTTTCGTGCGTTTCAATGTTGGAAAATCCTATGCCATATGCAAGAATTGTGAGTGTTATGATGTTTTGCCTGCACAAGTACCTGGCAACGAGAAACATCTACTATCGTATAGCGTCCAAAATTGCTAGATATTGCCCGTGAAAAGGAACGGGATTATTGAAAGCCACAGGGAAACCAGAATCTGCCGCTTTGAGGTCCCCGATTGTGAGTTCAACATGTCCAACCCTCGCCAAACATCTCCAAAATCCAAGCCACGGTTGCGGATAAACACGTAGCCACCACTGGCCAGTTTTAAAAAGTGGTGTCCATTCTCCTTCCAGATTTTGTGCGTCACTAGGACGATCTGGCGCGCATTGATAATCTCACCTGGTCATGGCTTGGATGGCTTGGAGGTGCATCTATTGTGACATAATGCACATCCCGACTGAATTTAATGCCAGAGACAATGTTGGTTGCTAGTACAGTAATTATATTCATGTTTGACAGAAGTTCAAAACCACAGGAAGTGAACAAAAACCAAAGCCACAGAAATTGAAAAACCGCAAAGGCTACAGCCACGAAGCTACCAAAGTCACCAAAACGAAGGAGCCACAAAAGCAAAGAAATATGCAAGAGCGAAGAAGCCGCCAAACAAACTAGAAAAGCAACTGAAAAGCCACTGAAACGGCAAAAAACCGAGATGGTAGAAAAAACATTGACAAACACAAAAACCGGAGAAAGAAAAAACGGGAAAACCATCCAAGAACGAACAATGACATTCCTTCAATAATATATATATATATACTGACATATAAATTAGATATACACATACAGTATACTAAACACAACGCAGAGATTAAGGCTTGGCAGTCAGTATTAGGGGATGGTAATGGGATTAAAATGGCAACCTGGCACACGCCTCTCCCGCAATGCCCGTTGCTTCCACATTTCCTCCCTTCGGGGCTTTGATTCTGGCCGACACGGCCATGTTTTGAAGGCTACAGTTGATTCACAGTATCACCAACCCAGTGCCCTCCCTGGCCCCTGCCTGTCAAATGGGTTCTTGGGTACGCTGCATACTGGCGAACTTCGAACGCTTGCAGCGCCCGCCAGTGGGTTTCCTCTGGTGACACCTGACACTGAGATTCGTTCCTGACATGGACATATATTTGTGGATCGTCATCACTAATATGGGTTGGTCGTTACATGAGGGACATCCAAAATTGTAATGGTTGATGGAAATATGACAGTGGGTTTCACAATGTATATCAATGTGTAAACCATTGGATCTAGGGGTACCCAACTGTAAGACTAACCCACATCTTTCGCTGAAACATATGATCCCCTGCATGAGTCAAAGTATTACCGTGTTGACTCTGGTGACCCAGGAAGAGCCACCACAAGCTCAGTAGGCTTTCAACTTGGGTATCATACCCACAAAGTCCAATGAATTGTTGGATAAAACAGACAAACAGGGGGACAAACCAGGAACCCAGAAAAATAGGGAACCCAAATCGCCAAACCCTGCATCAACCAACAACAAGTACGCAGGCTATTTTGCGCACTTGAGCCATGGCGTCGTTAGCATACATGGTATCACCCCAACCAGGTAGTTGTTAGGAAGGGGATAGTATCTAACTCTAACTATGGCTACACACCATATCTATAGAACAAGATTAGGGAGTGCTACTATACACATTGCGGATGTATCTACTTCGGAATTAGTTGGACTCATAGCTAAGGCATCCATACCTACACTAGACCTACCTGCATATGCTATACATAGTGGGGCTCAGGGTTCGATATATTTCAACTCCCCCCTCGCCTGTTCCACACGCACTGCGCATTGGCAGGCACCTACGCATCTACTGTCGCGAGAGCGGATGCTCACTGCGACCAATGCATTGGATTCCTAACAGGACTAGTGCTGCCGCCCATTTGTGTGGAGGCAATGCCTTGGTGAATATGTCTGCTGCCTGTTCGTCCGTGTTGATGTACTCTATCAGGGCAGAGTCATCTTTGAAGATTTCAGACAGGCAACACAAATTAACTTTATGCGTTCTAGTTATATGGCGAAGCTTGGGACTATATCCTTTCTTCACGACTAGGATTGTCGCAAGGTTACGGAGCGTGCAAGCAACAGCTCCCATAACTGGAGTGCGGGCAAGCCTTCTTGATAAAGCGAGTGAGCGAGACTCACTACTTCGCTTTCCGTGGTCGATTAGAAGTGGACGTTTGACGCTTACTAATCCATGCAAGCGGGAAGAAGGAACTAACTAGGGCCAGACAAAGCCAGAAAGCCACCAGAGGTTGAGCGTGCAGTCGACTTATCGCCGGCGAAGTCGGCATCGACGAAAAGTCTAAGCTCTAGGTTCTCAGGCTTGTCCTGAATGGTACCTACTAACCTGTAGTATGGAGTTGAGGCTATGTACTGGACTAGTCTTAGGACCTTCTTATCGTCCCCCCTGGACCACGACTGGACCTTTGTGGCAAGATCATTGATAGGCTTGATGATATCGGGACGTGCAAGTCTACCTAACCAAAGGGCTTTCATTAAAATCTTACATGCATTTGGAGCTAGTTCCCCTTTCGTTTCCTCATCCTCTATGGTGATGGAACCCTCAGGTGGAAATGGCGTAGCGGCATGCTTGAGTTTTGAAACACCGGTTATTGACTTATACAAATCGCTCTGTTGGGCATAGTCTGCCATGTCAAAAACCATGCCAGTTTGGGCTTGGAAGGCTGCACATTTTTCATGACCTTCGGTCTTAGAGAGTGGGGTAACAACATGGTTACATCGAAGAATCCTAGAGATGGGCTCTGGAGGCTCTATGTCTACCACATAAGTTAACTGATTCCAGAAGGCATCATGCTGGTCGGCGGGGCCAGCTAGAGTTAAATCGTCTACATAAGTGGACAGAAGTAAGTTAGTATCTGGGAAGTAAAAGTTTCCTGGGTATTCTGGGACCTCTTGCCCCCCAAGGTTCTTGATAATAACCTTTAGGTTTTGCTCCCACAGGCCTCCGGCATCAGGATGGCCGTATAAGGCTTTGAATAAAAGGACCACGGGCTTAACAAACTGGTGTTTCCAATACTTAGGGCGGAGCTCCGGAGGAAGCTCGATCCAAGTCTTGTATTTTGAAGACAACAGCGCTTGAACGTAAGCTTTGACCACATCGGCGGCTGTCGCGCGGTTTCCCGGCAGCGACCCATACGCTAAGCAGCCGTTGAGCCCTTGGACGGAGGTAGGACTAGCGCCGAGCTCTTGATAGACGGCCGCTGCTCCGTGCTCGTCTTTCGCGCAATCTCCACGGTACACTATGCGCCTCTTCATTTTGAAGGTGGTCAGCAAGCTCGTAGAATTTTATGGACGCAATGGCCATTAACTGACCAAAGTGTACGGATACACCGGAAGCTTTTGCTTCCTTGCGAACATCTTCTTATTCGCGGACTGAGCTGAGATCCCATGTGCCTGCTTTGACAAAACCGTCAGCTTCGGCGCGAATTGCTTCAAGCGCCTTAGGGTTGGACAACATTTCTGCACGAGACAAAAGCTTGGTGACCATAGCTTTGATTTCGGGAGTTGGTGCCTTTGGGTCCTCCAACTGGAGGGCTTGGGCTATCAATTGCTCATGGTCAAGAAGTTCTGTAACTAACCTATTAGCGGTGGGGTCTGATTCAGCTGCTATAGCTAAATCTTCAAAACCAGCTAATGGGGATACGTGCTTAAGGTGCTGTTCAATTTCCCTATGGGGTTGAGGCTCGCTAGTTGCCGGTCGGCAAGGCATAGCAGGTACGGACTGCTGGGCACATTTTGAGGGAAACAAAGCTTGCGCAATTAAATTATTCATTTTGGGTGGATACATCGCGGAGCGAGTGGTCTCAGCTCCCTCACATCTGGCGTGAGTTTGCTGGCACTTGCAATGCATATCCTGGAAAGCATCTTTGATGCATTGGGATGTGGTAGTGGTGAGACCTACCGCGCATCCCTCGAAATCTACACACACAAACTGAGGATGCTTCTCAAAAAATGCTGCAACGTCTGGCCTTTTCCATCCACTACAAGGTCTTGGCCTTTCAAAAGTTACAGTACCATTATGTTTGAGAATGCGTTCAGCTCTTTTGGTGAAACTAGAAAACAACCTTTTGGACTCTTTGACTTGATGCGCCAGCTTCCTAATGAAGGCGGCGCCACCCTTCTTCTTATTGATGTACTGCCAAGGGGATCCGGATGTGCAAGGGATGGAAGCCCACATGTGTGGTGGAGCAACTTCAGCAGCTTCATCGATCTGATAGTCTAGTTGCTCACATTGCGACTCATCACCTAAGTCGATCCTATCCTTACAAAGTCAAACATGATTGATACTATACTCACCATGAGTAAAACCCATCTGGGAATTATCAGAACAAGCAAACTCAAACATGGTTGACTTAGCATTGGGTTTGGAGGCTCTCGTGGCAGCTCTCCGACTCCTACGATTGTCGCGGCTATTCCGCCCTCCTTGGGGAAGGGCACATCCTTTAAGGCATATTCAGGCAACTTAAGATCATCTGGGTTATCCCCCCCTGATGAGCGCTCGGTGGCGTGAAAAACTTGCAGGAAAAACAGGATCACCTTCAGGGACAAAGATTTCTGCTTCTGGAACATCAACGGCTGAATTCCCACCTCTAGTGCGATACTCTTGGACATGTAGCACCCTAACGACGTTTCTATATCTAAAACCGGGATCAATCCTCCAACCCAAAAAGAGACCAGGTGACATGTTGGGTTCCAAAGTCCTTTTGGTGGGTGACTTCCTACGGTAATACACTAACTGACCAAAACATAACCTCATGCCATCAAACTTGGTCCTAGTAAGCGATTCCCATTGGGTTTTGCTGGGATCAGCTATTGAAGGCTTGTGAAATGACATCGAGAGGCAAGCATATGGATAGCTATAAGTGTGGTACTCATAGGGAAGACCAGATTGGAGGTGAATAGTGCGGCAACATTCTTTTTCCTCTCGAACATCTCTCTCAAGGATGGCATTGTGGGGCCACCTGTTCGGCAAAGAGGTTTCCGGAACCATGCCTACGGCATGTGCCGCTTGCTCAAGCTCGCCGGCTTCGTCCATTTTGATGAACGTCCGGGTGGTGAGCTCTGATCCACGCAGTCCTAAGAAATGCCTAAAGTTGCGAGCATGCGCATCAGCAGTACGTTTGGACAGTGGGTACGCTATACGCGCTCCAGAGTACATGATGCGACCTAATTCCCCCTATACCTACACCCATGTGTTCAGACCCTTTGGCTAAGATAACATCATCACTAGCGAGCTGATCTAGCGGCTGCTTTGGGGGATCAACACAATCATCGGCTTTGCCATCTTTGACATGTGAAACCCTCATGGCGGTATCTTTTGCTATGTGGCACAAAGGACAGTAGGGATTTTTGGGAAAATGAGTACGCAAATGCTCAGGGCTAGTGGCTTGCTGCTTTATAACTTCATCCTTAGGCGGCTCACCGTCACGTAGCTCTACTGTAGGCTCTACTGAAAGCTTGTCATCTAGCGGGTGTTTGGGCTCCGACGCGCTAGAGGGACCAGCAGCGTCCTCAACAGGTTCGAGTTCTAGACATGCTTCTACATCTGTGAGACTAGGAAAGTCACTACCGGCAAAGCTAGGAGCATAGCCAGGATCATTGGGATCTTCTTCATCATCAGCGGGAGCATCAGATTCCGCAGGTGGAGCTGGCACTTGGATTTGCGACCTCTTGCCGGGGAGCTGAAGTACTTTGTGGGGAACCAAAAGACCTAGTGCGAACATCTGGAGTATGCACTGGTGTTGGATTATGCCCTTCAAATAGATTGAAGTTATTCATAGTTTGACCATCAGAAACTGCCCTTCGACCTATATTTTCTTGGGGAGGGTCCGCAAGTAAGTCCATAAGGTTAGAAACTGTGGATTTGGGGGTAGCTGGAACAGGGGATGCTACTGCAAGATTTTGTTGCTGCCTGGCTTCTGCCAGCTGTTTCTCAAGAAGAGCAATCCTAGTATCCCTTTCGGTTATCTCAACTTCCCGGGTGGCCAATTGTTGGTTACCCAAATTGATTTGATGTTGGAGTGGTCTAACATTAGGTCTTCCCTTTGCAAAGCC